ATACTATCCTTAAAGATCATCGTTAGGGAAGGTACACCTGCTGCTTTAAGTTGATATCAAAAGTCAGTTCTTCTAAGATTAGATCATAGGAAGAGCTTACATTACTTAGTTCTTCTAAGATTAGATCAAAAGGACGATCTTACATTACTTAGTTTTTCTAAGATTAGATCAAAGGACGAGCTTACATTTCTGCCTATTAATTTGGTTAATAGTCAGTCATATTGATTTTAAAACATACAGCTTTTCATTAGATTAATGTATACAGTGAATGGGAGACTCTTTACTTCAGTAAAGTAATAATCAGAAAACCAGAAACACCTCAGAAAGTGTCATTATAGCCAAAAAATACAATAACTTTAATTCTTAAGGTAATTTCAAAGTGCATTTCTCCACTTTTTGAAGGATAAAAGGAAAATCACGCTAAAATCTGGGGTTCGATTCCCCGCAGTGTACACAGCAAATAGCTCAATATGGCTTTGCTCTGAAAACAAACACACACAAAGCATTGTAAGTAGAATGAAATATTTTTTCCTAAAAAATTACTACTGCACATTTTCTTATGCTTACAATAAAAATACACACTTTCTCACTGAAATTATATTTTCTTATTCTTACATTTAAAGCATTTTTTCCATCTTATCTAGAACCATCATGCGAGATCTATAATTGTTTATTCAATTAGAAAACTTGCAGTCGATCCGAACAATTCTTCCCAGTTATCTAATGCTCTTTAGTCCACATGAGGAGGTATGAATAATACAAGAACTGATGAAATATTTGGAATAATACGGTAGCTGGTTAAATAGTAAAGAAGGTAGTATATTTATATACAACATTTCTATATCGAATGATGTAGTTTGAGACCTTCGCAAAACCCATTTTCTAGGTTTTGTAATATGTATAATATCCATGATATGATGCTAGGATGAGGAAATTAAAATGTCCATTTTTAATATATAAACAAACTATAGCTAACCCATAATTCATTCAAGATGATACCCTCCCTCCCCCCAAAAAAGGATATGACACTTTAAAATCAAGGGGTGTTCATGCGTTCCCAAATATATATATATATATATATAGCTGAGGGGGACACCAAAAACATAGAACTTTTGTTAAAAAATCTCAAAATCACTGTGACTCCTTCGAGAATATATCCGAAAGCTATCGTGAAGCGAAAGAGTTGGCCCCTAAATTTAGGTGGCCTTAGGTGTTTTTAAGCTATACTAGCAAATGCTACAAAATTAATCGAGCATAAGAGATATAATATTTCTTTGATTATAGCAGTTCAGTTTGTATGTGAATTTCCAGTTGAGAAGTTAATCATTAAAAATAAGGATATGATGGTTTAATAAGTTTCTGTTATATCTTATATAGATAACATATATATATCATGTAGTTTGTATGTGAATTCCCAGTCGAAAGGGTAATGACTACAAATAACGAGATAGGGATTTAAGTTTCTATTATATCTTATATAGATAGCATATATATGTATCATGTAGTTTGTATGTGAATTCCCAGTCGAAAGGGTAATGACTACAAATAACGAGATAGGGATTTAAGTTTCTATTATATCTTATATAGCTGACACTGATTGTATAGTTGGTTCTTAAGGTAGTTTAAAGTACAAAATCCAATGAACATAATTTAAATTAAAAGAGAAATATTCTGTTAAATATATTATATACTATATACTTAATAACATGTTTTTCATAAAAAACATAACATTTGTGGAGGTGAATATTATTCTATTTTAATAGCAATTAGTTGTGAATTTTCAAGTATGAAAGTGTAAGGAATCATGTGAGTTTTTTCTTCCTGAGTAGATTTTACTAAGCTATTTATCACACCGATGGACAAACATTTGCATTATTTAAATTTCTAAGCTATGTTACATGCGTTTTTATGAGCTTTTTATGCCTGAGTAGATTTTACTAAGCTATTTATCAAACGAATGGACGAACATTTGCATTTCTTAAATTTCTATGCTACGCAACTTACGTTTTCATGAGATTTTTCTTCCTGAGTAGATAGTACTAAGCTATTTATCACACGGATGGACGAACATTTTCATTTTTTAAATTTCTATGTTACATACGTTTTTATGAGCGTTTTCTGCCTAATTAGATTTTACTAAGATATTTATTACACGGATGGGCGAACATTTGCATGCTTTAATTTTCTAAGCTATGTTGCATACGTTTTTATGAGTTTTTCTGTCTAAGTAGATTTTACTAAGGTATTTATTACACGGATGGGCGAACATTTGCATGGTTTAATTTTCTAAGCTATGTTGCATACGTTTTTATGAGTTTTTCTCTGCCTAAGTAGATTTTACTAAGATATTTATTACACGGATGGGCGAACATTTGCATGCTTTAATTTTCTAAGCTATGTTGCATACGTTTTCATGAACGTTTTTGTCAAAATCTAAATATTTAAATAATTCAAACTACAGATAGCACTAAATAGTTTAATTGATATATGACAAAGTTTTGCTTTAGACAATGCATGTAACAAGTAAGTGTTACAAGTCCTGTTTTGTATACTAATTTGATACTTTACTTTTGTTTTCCTTTATATCTACTTACATCATGACATTTTTGTAGCTGAAAAACGTGCAATTAATACAGAATATTTTGTTTCGTCTTTAAATTGAATGATCAGATGGACCAATGTTTACCAGGAAATTAGAGAACGTAGAGGCAGATCTTGGTGACAGAGTAACTCTGTCTTGTGACGTAGACAGTAACCCTAAATCAAACATCATTTGGACATCCGAGCATTCCACAAAGGTTTTAGGAACTGGACCTGTTCTCGTGATACCAAAAGTGACCCCAGAGACTTCAGGAGTATTCGAATGTAGGGCGACGGTCAGTGGTTTTCCTCAAGTATCTGAAAAAGTCATGATATTTCTGAAAGGTATGATAAACAATATAAGTGTTATTAAAGTAGTTCACAATTTATTTATTTACAATAAACATACATTTTCATCATATTTACAAACTATCAAATTGCCTGAATATGAAACAAGAGATAAAATAGTTTAATGTAAAAACCCAGTTTTCAATAAACAATGATTTATTGTACACAATTCTAAAAATTAAGTATTTACGTAAGCGTCAATAAATTCTAAGAATAGTCTAATGTTAAAAACGTAAGGTAAATACTAAATGTTAGTGTATTTCTTTATTTAAAAGCACTATGTGGTTGATGTTTTTGTTCCGAGAAATACAAAATATACAATTTGGGGTGAAGGAAACGTCTGTGCTAAAACAATTTAAAGTTCTAGTACCGGGACAGGAAATAAAGATAACTGTTTTGTTAATAATCGATAAATATTTTCTATCTTAATGTCACCCAATGGCCCAGCGGGATGTCTGTGGACTTAAAACACCAATAACCGGGTTTCGATACCTGTGGTGGGCGGAGCACCGATAGTCATTTGTGGAGATTTGTGCTTAACTACAAACAAACCTATCTTAAATTATATTGATAATGATAATTTTTTAATTAAATTCCATACATTGTATTTAAAAAAAAAATTAATTAAGTTTAGTGTAAACACAAAAGATATCAAAATTCTGCAGTGGAGGTGTAAGAAATGTTCTGATTATAATTGCTTCACTTTTGACTCGCAAAGATGTACAGAAATTTTCAATTAGAAAAATGTATATCCAATGGTTTCCTTTACACAGTCGAGTTAAAAGTTGTATGATCAAAATGTCATCATCAACTAACAATCAGGAACTTTGATCAATACAATGAGAAGTGAGTTAGAAAACATTAAACCCTTGAAGATTAGTTTGAAGCAGAGTGGTTTTCAAATTTATAAGTAATGAAAAGTGTAATAATATTATATAGTTTTCAATAACATTTTCATCGGACTAGAAAAGTATTATCTAAAAGTTTTAAAGAGTTGATCGAGTAGAACCGAAAAAAAGTAAAGTTAAAATTGTTGATGTTATAAAGTGAAAATGTACGTGGGTAAATTTCACCTGTTTCATTTAAAATCTGTAACCCATTACTGCATATTCCTTTTAAAGATATGTGATTGAAAGCCGTCTGATGGTTAAATGTACTATTACAACTGTTAGGGATAAAAAGATAGTCTGTGTATTGTGAGTAAAGGATAACAGAGAGAGTGTTTATAATTCTTAATATTGTTAAAAATTTGTTAAATCTTATCTATATAGTAGGTTGAAATCGAGCAAGGCAGAAATTAAACGTTATTAATTTATTAGAAGCATTCATTTTGATGAAAATTAAAGCTGTATAGAAATAGCGGCCATACGTTCATTTTAACACCAAAAGTGGAATTGATATCTGTAAAAACAACCTAAAGTAACACAAAATAATCCTAATGAGCATTGATGCAAATTATAAGATGTAAAATATGATACATTATTATTATTCAGAACTTTGAAGATACTCTATTGATACTATGAGATAGAAGCTCCATAATACTTAAAGAAACTGTATCTTGTTTTATGTGACTTTACTTAGTTCTTCTAAGATTAGATCAAAAGGACGAGCTTACATTACTTATTACTTAGTTCTTCTAAGATTAGATCAAAGGACGAGCTTACAGGGTAAGCTCGTCCTTTCGATCTAATCTTAGAAAAACAAAGTAATGTAAGCTCGTCCTTTCGATCTAATCTTAGAAGAACAAAGTAATGTAAGCTCGTCCTTTGATCTAATCTTAGAAGAACTAAGTAATGTAAGCTCGTCCTTTCGATCTAATCTTAGAAGAACTAAGTAATGTAAGCTCGTCCTTTTGATCTAATCTTAGAACTAAGAAATGTAAGCTCGTCCTTTTGATCTAATCTTAGAAGAACTAAGTAATGTAAGCTCGTCCTTTTGATCTAATCTTAGAAGAACTAAGTAATGTAAGCTCGTCCTTTCGATCTAATCTTAGAAGAACTAAGTAATGTAAACTC